GTGCACCAGCGCCATCCTTCATTTGATCTGCCAGCAGATATCACGGCCGCCTCTCTGGCTTATTTAGCCCACTGACGGATGAATGCCTGTAATTGGATCTTACTCACGTGTGCATGTATGTATTCGTTTCTCCCAGGGGTTGTCTGTACCGTCGAAAAATCTGGTATTGATGCAAGAAAATAAAATAAATGGTAACATTCGGCGGATAGTGGAACTCAGGGCGTGATTACTGTGCAGCAGATACACTCAAAGACACTAATTGTGGGATTTCTCTGTGTGCTGCCTCCCCCTGACTCCACCAGCAGTTTCCTGGCAATTTCTAAAAGACGTATGTTTTAGGAAAAGGCACAATTTCAAAGACAAAGTAATCAAACACATGTATATCTTCATTGACGCATGAAGAGGGGTTAATATCCTTTATCGCAACAGCGTGATGTTTTCAAATCATTCTTTGCACCACTTTGTGTGTGATCATCCTCTCGTGCCTGGGTGTGCAAGCTGTCACAAGCTTTCTGAAACGAGCTGCGTGTTTTCATCTCCAAATTAAATGTTGGATTCGCATTCAAAGACACATGAATAGATGAGCAGTTGTGTAACCACAGCTCCACGTTTCCCCACAGTGATGCATCTCCGCTCTGTCACGCTGCTCTCTAATTTGGAGGAGCTTCGCTCAGGCCTGAAAACGCCTCTCCAAAAACCTCTCCAACTCTGGTTTGTGTAGTTTAAAGGAGAATTGTTTGCCTCAGCGTCTCTTGCCCGATGTTGGCTGGGGTTGACTCCAGCGACCCTGTAAGAAGGATGAGCGGCGTAGAAGACGACTGAGGAGTCCTCACACACTATAGAGTGCCAAAGACGCATGTGACATCAAAGTAGTGTAATTACTCATTTCATTTCTGGAATGTGAAGTTCTGGAAACTCACCTTAAGTAGCTCTTGATCTCAAATAAAAACGGGAAAACACAATATTGAAGCACCAAAGGTTAGGACTGCTTCTCATATCCCTCCATGATATTCATGGAACCAGATTTAATGTGAATAAAACTAGAAGTTAAAATGTTCTCTTCTTTTCCCAAGTCTCAAGTTACAGAAGCCATGTTTTGAATCAAATATTATTCAGGGTCAGGATACGTACGTGTTAAGTTGTGTTCATTCGAGGTCATGTGCGTATTTGCACCAATCAGGAGAGCCCCCTGTCATCTTCATCGCATATGTCTTCATGTGTTCCTGGGAGTGTTCCAGGCAGGAAATGAAGCTGGGAGATTCCTCCGCATGTCGGGGGTCTGAGGCGGATGCAAGCAGGCGAGATTTAACCGCAGGGGTCATGGGTCAGAGGTTCCTCCAGGTTCCAAATTTGCAACTTTGCCCAGATCCTGTCCCGGCTGCCGTCAAAGTGGGCAGCCAGCCGCTCGCTAATGTGTATTTGCAAGACAAAGGGTGAGGAGAGGGGCGGGCATAAGATGGGCTTTGATTTCTCAAAAGCCCATTTTAGATTTATGGGCGTGATGAAATCAGCTCTGAATAAACTGGACTTGCCCATTTTCTCTATCGTTTAGCTACATCTGAAGGCTTTGGGGATTGTTTCGGGAGAAAGACACCCTGGATACAAAAGGCAACAAATCTAAAGAAAAAGAAGAGACGAGGGCCGCAGCTTCCTCTCAAGTCCTCACATGTCCTATTCAGGGGCCCATCAGCCGGCCGCGGGCCCATTGTATGTGGCGCCTCACGACCATCACTGCCTCTCCAGATGAATTCCCAACCGTAGACTTATGGAAATTAGCCTGACGCGTTCCTGGGATACCAGGAAAACCCTCAACCGGCTACATGTGAAAAAGTGACAAACATCCTGGTCTTCAATAAGTGGTTCAGCAGTGTCCATGTATGTACACACGCAGGGACCAAAGTAAGTGCCCAGCGGATGGTGACGAGGGTGGCTTCCCCTCGATCCCCTCTACCCCACCCCCCCCTTCCCGCATACCCTGCAGTAAATACTAAGTGCCCCCCGGTGACCCTCCCAGTGATAAATAACCCTTAAGGTTAACAACGTTTGAAATGGAGCTGTGAGGCCATTAAAGGCCTCCGGAGTTTTCCTGACATCTTCAATATGTTATCTCCTTGCCGAGGGACTTAAACCAGAGCAACATTAGCTGGACTCTCCTTTGTGTCGGGACTGATGGGGTTAGCAAAAGCTCTGTTGACTACAGTCCTGAGAATGTGATTCTCTATCCTCTATCTGCATCTTTTAGCAGCAATAAATGTATGATATTCCCACCGGTTAAGATGTAACACGATTTAGTGTATGTGATTCTCATGAATATTGTTCTGCAGCCATGCACATGAGTGTTTGCACAGATGGCGATGCTGTAGCATGGTACCTTGGAGTCTGGTAGGAGGCTAAAAAAAGGTTGGTGTGTATCCTTCACGGCTGCTGGTGATGTCTGTGAACATTTCTGGAAGATGCTCGGATTTGTGACATATTCAATGTGAGATTAAAACAACATTAAGCTTTAAAAGCATCAGTAGATAATATATTCACAAACATATATATATATGTTCTACAATGCTATGTAATGAAAAAGGGTATACTAGTATTGTATAACTAATATTGTAAAGCTTTGTTCACATGCAGACATTAGGGCATTTTCATTATGATTGGAGCAGGAAGTTCAGCATTTGTTTGCTGTGGTTTTGTGCATTTGGAAGCTACTCACCATGAACCTTTATTCTGATGTCAAGTCTAAGACATCTAGAAAATGCTTTTGATCAAACAGAAGAATCTTATTTAATAATCCACAATAATCCAAATTATGAGAAGGAGCATGAGCAAAGACTTTGACTTTTGACTTTGACCCAGAATCTGAAAAAAGAGGTAATATATCTTCTTCCATTTGGGAAACACGGTTATATGTCAACATCCACTCAGATAGTTTTACTGTTCAAAATTCTAAAAACTTCAAATAAGATCTGAGCTAAATAACAAGAAAGTGTGTTGCAGTCTCCATCTAGAGGACATATTGGCAATGTGAGCATCTCACTGACTGCTGAGCTGCTTTATGAAATGATGTGATTATATTAATAAACCCAAAAGATGAGATGAAGACACCAGCTATTTGGTGGCCCCGACACCTGTTGTGGAATGCGAGTACATTTACATTTGAATTTGTATTCCTATTTATACTTCTCCTCTCTTTGAGAGGTAAATATTCCACTTTACAACTTATTCTTGTTTTAACTTTTGCTGCAATTCCAAATATATTTTCAGAAATGACTCATTATATATTATTATTATTGACTAAGCTGCAGCAGTAAAGATAAGGGGAAATTATCTCCAACTTTACTACTACAACATAAATAATAAATAATTATCAGGTAAACCTGTCGGGTACAAAGATAGATTGGTGTGTTTAATGATATAGGCTTGACAGAATATGTGTCTGATTGAATCATTTCTTTATGGACCATTTAACACTTGGTTCTGATTCTGCTTTGCTAATAGCAGATGACAAGCATGACTGTAGTCAGATGGTGCTGTTTGTGATTCGTAGTTTTTTTTCTGGATAAATGTACATGAAAGGCTGTTTGATGAACAGTTTTACAGAGCAATTACTTTTATTAAAAATCAGTTTACAAAATAGGGATTTTTTGTAAACCTTTTGTGCATTTTGGTGTCCATCACTCAGAGCTCCCTCTGCATTTAAACTCAATTGTATTATTTTTTTTACCAAATTAAAAGCAATATGTGCAGATGTTTTACTAGCATCTGTGGTTCTCTGAGCTTTGACATTGTGGTGTCTTGTTTGTTGTAGTTCCACCATGTGGTACAACTACGTCATTACAAGCAGGTGGTGGAACACGGACAGACTTTGGTTTTCTCATCCCGGGAAAACCTACAGGTATAAATTCAGAGAAAAACCACTGGACAAGTAATATAAGAAAGTATCACTTTGTGGTGTAAACACTAAATGTGTACATGCACTATTTAACTTAACCAACCACTTGGTTGGTGCATACAGCTTGAATTTTAAACAGTGAGAACGATTCATTTCAAAGGATTTATTTTGAAGAATACTGACAGGGGTTTGTACAAAGTGAATAAATCACAGGACATGGCATAGTTGCAAGACAAAATGGGGGTATACATTTTAAGAATAGTAGATAAAAAGCACCTTTTTTCAAACCGGGGTTACAAAATGCTAAAAAAAAAAGGGATACCAAGTACAATGATAATTCAAAAAAACTTCATGAGTAAATTAAGACTTCTTAGGGTTATTTTTAAAAAAAATGTTCCTCCGTTTCCTTCAAGAACAATACAGCTATTCTATGTAAGGCACATGACTCAAAGCATTGGGCACTTGAACAAAGCTTCATACTCGGGCAGACTAAGGGACATCTCTTTGGCACAGCTGCATAGTTTGTGAGTGATTCAATCACCTAAATGAGCTAGACAACGTTAACTTGACAACACCTATGTACAAAATGTATTTAAAAATGTTATAAATATGTCTAAAAACCACAGACACTATGTACATCTTTGTACTGAAGTAAGGCAGAGATTGCTCATCTTTGCTATCCCACATGATGGATTTTGGGACGTCGGGTGCCGGAAGGCAATAAAAAAAAAAATCGATCTCACGCCAACACACTTTTTGGAGACAATCTGTCACTGCGCTGTGGTTATGATCAATAAAAAAGCAAACAGGTGTGATAGTTTTTCTGTATGTGATACTGAAATACAGCCAATATGAATCCCCGGCAGTGATACATGTCTCCATTTAATGCTTAAAACGACACATGCACTTTTGTTTGTTGGGATGTCAGTCGATGGCCTGTGGCCAGTGGGCTCAGTGTGGTGTTGTTGTAGAGGGGGGTGGGGGGGGGGGGGGGGGTGTCCCCCTACCACCCCTCCTCCTTTCTCCCCCGCTCCCTTTCTCATTCCTTCTTCCTCCAGACGATATAAATGAAGCCGCTGATGAAACTCATAGGGAAAGCCTCCCCGGCCACAACCTAGGGGTAGGCGAATTTTTTGCTGAATGAGTCCTCAGGACACCTCCCCGCGGAGAAGATCGCCGCGCACATCACGAACACACCTAGGAGAGACAAGAAGAGAGGATGGTGAGGGGCGGGGGGGGTGGATCTGGAAGCCCACCCCCGGGGGGGTGGGGTGTGACCCGCCGGCGAGCGATGATGTCACACTCACTAGCCAAGATCTGGAAGATGGCGGTGAAGAAGAAGCGTCCGCCCTTGACCAGTTTGAACAGCTGGAACACGAATGCAATGAGGGAGAAGAAGCAGAAGAGCAGGGACAGGATCATGAGGGCTTGCACGGCCTGGATCCAGTCTAGGAGACAGATGGAGAGCCGGGATTTAAACACATTCAGAACAGAAAGGCAAGAAAGGCACGAGTCTGTTTTTTTTGTTTTTTGTTGGAACGCTGACAAACCTTCATCGCTGGCCGGCGTGCAGTGGTAGCTTCCAGTATTTGTCATGCAATCGTACCATAGATGTTTGGTCGTCTCCCCATCTACAGACCAGACCTGGTAAACACAACAACACAGTAACGTGACAACAGCACAGTCGAGGACTGTAATATCCAAACACTCATAACACTTACTAAGCATTACAATGAAGTTTAGCTTATTCACATCATGCCCCTGTTCTGTCCCGCATCCCAGCACTGTATGTGAATCGGACAAAGTGTGACGGGACAACTTACACTGGTTGCCGTCGACACGATGAGAAGGATGAGAATGATAATGTGCAAGATAAGCACTCCGAGCAGGAAGAGCAGCATCTTTTCAAGTAGATCTACAGTGATACAGGAGACAAAAATAAGTCAAGCCACAATACCCCGACCCCCCCCCCCCCCTCACCCACCCCCACACACACACAAAAGACAAACACGCTGCTGATATAATCTTGACGCTAGAGGGCGCAATTTCATCACTTCTACCAACCGCAGTGTTTACCTCGATGTGAAAGTATCCGCTTACACTCGAGCGTAGAAAGAAGGGAGGAACTACCATTTCTTCTCGACGGGCCTATAGTGGTCAAAGTTGGGTTTAGAGTCAGGCTGAGGTAATGAAACCGACTCGATTCTTCTTCTCTTTTTCTTTTTAACCTTTTCTCAATTTTTAATAAGTCCAAATGGTTTAATTACGAGTCATTGATTCACGCCGCGCGTGTTTGCAGAATGAGTGAAATAGCTCGAGTGACGAAGGAGGTCGATGATGTGCGTAAGAAAAAAAAAACTAATCGATGCGCGCTGCCGGAGAGCAAAGCGGAGACATCTGCACGAGGAACGTTCCCGCGCGCGCGCGCGCGCCAAACCCCCGAGCTTTAACTCTGGAACGAGCAGCTCCATCCACGAGGACGATAAACACGCGACACGCAAAGCTAACGCGGGTCAGACGGATATGGGTTTTTTCCCCCTTCTGCGCCATAGAAGGAAATACAAAGTCTATTTTAAACTCCAGCGGGGTGACGGACGTCCTGTTGTGTGATTCGAAGAAGAAGAAAAAAGTCAATAAAAAGAAAACGAGGTTACTGAGTAAAGCAAAAAGGAACTCCAAATACATGACTCCAACTTACAAATAGGCGAAGCGAGATGTTTGTATCCGTTTAAAAAACAAACGAGGAGTTGCTGAGAGTTGGGACAAGTTTCGGCGAGGTTGTGCTTCTCCCGACTTCTTCCTCCGTAGCTACTATTCCAGATGTGGTGCACACGCCCCAGTTGGACTCTGTCTCCGCCTAAACACCGCCCTGCAGCCCGTGCACGTCACCAGGGGCCCGTCTTAAAACGTCTTTTCCTTTTTTTTCCTCCTACTTTTTCTTTTCTTCTTCCCGTGCACGCCTATGATCTGGATTGTTCTCCTATCCACATGATTGCATGGAGATTCCTATGTGCAAACCGCAAAGCCTTGAACATACTGAGAGGGACCGTCTCCGCGTTCATGCCCTGAGAACATCCCGTTATTTTGCTCCTTGTAATAAAATGATAAAACGGTCATAAACGGTCAACCACCAAGAAAAGGCACAACGTAACTGGGATTCCTAGTATTTTTGATGTATTTATAGACAACCCCCCCCCCCTCCTACAAAAAATCCTGATCCTGCCTCCCCAAGTTGTTAACTGTTCTGCAACATGTAACGTATGTTTTTTCTTTTATAGACACGTGAAATCCTCACAAACTGACGTTAGTTTTCCAGATGGTTGGAAGTAGCTGGACAGGCCTGTGACCCCCCATTGGCTGGCACAGCTGGAACGTGCACACTGAGCTTCACAAACCACACGTCCAGAGGTGTTTTGTCCAGATGGTGTGTGTGTGTGTGTGTGTGCGTGAATGTGAACAGACCAGCCCCCTCGAGGGCCCTCGGTATGCCCAGAATGCCTCTGTGTGTGAAGCAGTCTGTTTACTCCCGCGTCTGCTGAGGGAGGCGGGATTTTGTCCACGCCGCGGGGGGGAGCGGCGGGGGGGAGGAACCACCTCACACTGTTGTCGGTCGTGCTAAATGGACGCAACGGCTCGCGCCTCCACGCGCACACACGGTTCACGGATGAGTGGCCCCCGCAGCCCTGGTTACGCTGTGGTCCCACACGGCTGTGCTCACACGTGGCACCATCGTAAACCAAACCGGAACCCAAATGGCCGCAGTGACAAAAAGCACTCGCTTCCTGTTTGGGAACCCACCGAATACAGTGATGGTAGTCTGCTGCTCCCATCGGAGATCTGCCTCTCCCTCTCCCTCTCTCTCTCTCTCTCTCCCTCTCCCTCTCCCTCTCTCTCCCTCTCCCTCTCTCTCTCTCTCTCTCCCTCTCCCTCTCCCTCTCTCTCTCTCTCTCTGTAAATCAGGGGGGGAACTTCTACCACTCACTGGGGCTATACCTATAGAAGGACCGAGAGGGAGAACTATAGAGAGAGTTATGTGTCTCTGTTGACGTGTTCCAGGGGGTGAACTATAAAGTGAAAGTTTTGCTGACTGCGAGCAGCAAGGTGAGGCCGAAAGAGAGAAAAACGCCGTAATAAGAGCTCACCCCGAGGGGGGCTGTTTATGAAGATGTCCTTAGAACCCAAGGCTAGTGTACCTCGCGTAAGCACCGAAGGCGGCTTGTGAATCATTGCGGGAGCCCCCCCTCGAACCAACGGGAGAACGGGGAATTGTAAAGCGGATCTATCTCTCTCTATTTATCTAAAGAATGAATGTATTTTGTTGTACTTGAGGAATCCACAAAAAGAATAACATCAAAGAAATGGCGTACAATTACAAAGGTATTCCTTTTAATTGCACTGCAGCTTTATTTGTTTTAATAAGCTGTGAGACTGCAATAATTATACATAAAAACAGTGAATCCCATTGTTGTAACGGCAATATATAAGATGTGTGGATATAGTTAATCGCACGTTATCCTCCATGCTTATCAGTGGCAATTCCTTTGACTTCAAAACATTGTGCTGTCAGCGATAGCGCAACCGAACCTTTGAATAGTTGGGATATTTCTTACACGGCTGAAAGCCCTGGAAACCTTCCAAGGCTTTTGACGCCCTAAAACCCGTTTAAGGGAAACACACAGCTCCTTTTGCTTTCTCTTCTTTCTACCTGCGGTAACTATGGCGACAGCCTTTGTTGAAATTGAAAACCGACACACCCAGCTTCATCGAGAGATTCACCAGGCGAACTGTTTCAGAAAGCTGGTGTTTTAGAAAGTTAAAGGCTTTTTGTTGTGGACTGGAGTATTTTCTGTTTGCTTGAACGGACGTCATGGGCTTGTGCAGTGGAGTTACGGTGCTGTTTAAAAAGTACCTCAAGCTAAACAGCTGACCCAGAAGAAACACAGCGAATTAATTGTTGTTTACTGAATATGCAACTTGTTAATGTTGAAAAACATTTGAGCCGTGACTCCGTACCACCCTAAGTTGAACCATCTCCTGTGTTAATAATGAACATGAATTATTACATGATTATAAAATGTTGATTGTCTTATTGGCTATATATGGCTTTATATAAGCTGACGGGCCGGGAATTTCACCTTTATTTTTGATATCAATGCAAATTATGTCAGTTTGTGTTTATTTATTAAGGACTACAGTACGCCAGTGGTTGGACCTTAATTCAAGTCAGGACTTGTGTCGCAGTGTACGGGTCCGGTGTTTGGTGACAGAATGAGTCAGACTGCAGGGGGGGCCAAATGAGACTTTTTGGTCTGTTGCAGCTCTGATAGGACGGGCGAGATTATACGGGTGAGGGTGTTGTTTTGGCTGTGATCCACGCTCGGCTAACTTGGAGGACGTCTTAGTGTAGGACAGCTGGCCATGTCAATTTCACATTTTTGCTATCCCAGTATGAAGAAATGGTGGAACGCCTTACTGCTCTTTTTACGTATGGGAGCCACTGCCAGAACGAGAGGAAACACTAAAGCTCTGGAGTCGGTCCGGCCAGATGTCATCGGGATAGCTGGCCACGCCTGTCCAAAAAACCCCAAATCCTTAAGATATCTCACTAGAAATCTGTGAATCATCACAGCTGGAAAACGTTGGGATCTACGCTGCACACAGCTGCTCAGAGAACAGATTGTGGTGGTCCGGCCTGTATGTGTTGTGAACCTGGTTTCATCAAAATGCAATGTACGACATTCCTCTTAAGGGGCCTTCTCTGCCTTCCGGGACGTGTTTGTCTATTTACTTTGTGATTGTCACAGCTGAACCGTTCAGTCGCTGCTCTTGTTTGTGTTGCACCACTTAGTGACCATCAGATAATGTCCCTCGGACCACACAGGGGGAGGTGGAGAGGAGCCCTCCAGACCCACATCTAACGGGATGTCACACTTAGCAAGGCGGCGTTAACATCAACACATCTACACTGGTGCTAGACTGGATGCTTACGCGTACCGCACACGTGCACCAGTAGATGCACTCACAACAGGACGAGCTCACTGTTCTTGTTCTTTCACTGACTTCAAATGAGGCCTCACATTGCAATATGAAATGTTGAAAGCTTAAATGTCTTAAGGGGCAACATGTAGCTCTATAGGGACAAAATGGGCAGAGAGCGAGATGAAGATGTCCATTATTTGGGAGCTGAATTAGATGAAGCAGGCGAAGAGCTTCAGAGGTTTCTATCCCTTTAAAAACACTTCAATAAATCAGAGACACGCGGCATGAGAACTCCAGATTGTGGCACCCTAGTGATCCTAAACATGTGCTAATCATTAGCCCCTGGCTTCCTGTTCGAGCCGATGTCATCAGCACACACATCCCAACCGGGCAGACCAGCATACGAACTGTTCAGCCTTCAAATCAGAGCGAAACCGGCCTCCGGGGTTTGGAATGGAGCAATAAAAGCTATGAAAGAATTTGCATCGCCTTTTCCACAGAGTTCTTGCAGTTCTGCTATCTGCAGAGACACGTAGAAGCCGCAACACACTCCTCGTCGACTCATTTCGATTCCAATCAAGTCCGACACTCGTGGTCGTGTGATAAGGTCGCTCATCTGCAGCTGAAATCCCCCATCTAATTATTTCGCCCTCCTGTTATCGGTGTGTTTCTCGTTCCTGTTGGGGTGCTGTCTTCATCCAGGCAGTGCACGTGTGCTCATTTAACAGCTTCCTTCACAGGCTGCCAACCTTGACTTTTCTGCGTGAATATTTTCTTTTCGTAAGTGCACCTGAAGATTTAATGTAATCGAAGGCCGTCTCCCCTGACTACCAGTAAGATAACCCTCCCCCCCCAGTGGAGTCCAGAGCTGATGGTGGTGGCTGATTAGGGTAAACGAAAGACGAGCTGATGAATGAGATGAATCTGCATGGACTGAAGATTGGGAGGTGGACGGGTGCATAACAGCACCAGGAACATACTTAAGGTCCAGCATCATATTTAAAGAGATTGCAGATGACAGGCTAACAAAATTATTTAGTTTTGCTTATTAGATAAATGAGACCAGCTGATCTATAACATCTGACGTCAAGATTGATGGTGACACGAAGACAATAAAGGAGCATCTGTCAGGAGAGATTGGCGGATGTATGAGAAAGATACTAGTCTTCCTGACTGAAACCACGCTACGGCTTCATTAAGTCTGTAAAACAGCTGGAAGGTGATTCAACAGATTATTAACTTAGGGACAGCTAGTAAACAGCTAGATGTTAAAGGAGGCAAACGTGTATATAAAGGCCCCCCTTAAGCAGGCTGCTGAGTGAGTTCTATCTCTGTCTACAACTGACTGCTTAAGTTATGAGTCATCCAACCGCTGATCCGCTACTCTCTCTGTTTTTGTTTATTGCAACCCAGTCTCACAGTAAAACGTGTCATAGCTATGTTGTGCAACGTGGTATTCTCACGCTTTATCCCCCCAAAAAGTTTTATTTTGGCCCGTTCATTTACATCGCCCTGCAACTACGTCACTAGAAACTAATAAACGGAAGGTCTACATTCTCTGATTATAAAAACATAGCGCATACTTCTCGCTAGAAATGCCATCGAAATGCATACAAATGCATATGTGTTTTTCACACATAGTAGAACGACAGTCCGCCATTTTCTTTTTTTAGCTGAGGGAAAGTTGATAGTCACGTGACCTAGTTGCAAGCGAAACGTTGTATTGTCACGCTTTCTCCCCAAAAGCGTGGCAATACCACGTACCACAACGTAGCTGTTACACGTTTTGCTGTGAGACTGGGTTGTTTATTGATGCGGCGCATCCGTCAGCATCGGCAGCCCAAGTTTTAACACGCAATGTG